AAGTCTGGGGAGAAGATCTGAGCTGAACTTTATGCCAGGTTAATTTTGGTAGTGTATTAATAAAGCCCGACCTGAGGACGGGAAGAGGTTGTACTCCACACGCTGCGTGTGCCGGGTGTGAGAACAAGCTGGGAACGGCACTTCCGCACAGTAATGACAGCTGAAACCAGGCGTCTAAGAAGCCAGCATCCTGAGGATGGGGATGGAGCGGCTCCTTCTTTTCCCTTCAGCTCCAAAACCTCTCCAGAGAGAGTGGCTCTATCGAGGCCTTCCCCCACGATATCGCCTACCCTTTCCCTAGGGTGGTTGAGGATGCTGGGAGCCTGATGCAGTCATGCCGTTACGTGGCCTGGATTTTACTACCAGCCCTGGCCAATTAATCATTTGCTGATTTCTTTCTAATAAGTTACATCTGCTGAGTTTCCACTGGGCCTCTGCCTGGCGAGGGGGGCCCCCGCTTTCACCTAGGGTGACTTGAAATAAATAAATAGATACCACCTCTCTCATGTTTATTTTCCCCTTGATCAATAAACATTAACCTCCCGCCTGCATTTGCTGGCCCACAGAGGGAAACAACAAGCAGGCAGCAGGTAGGGGAGCCACTCTCTGCAGAGAGCCCAGAGGAAGTGGTGAGAGCAGCGGACAAACTGCAGCTGAACTCAAGTCAGACGGGCTGACGGAGAACTTACCAGCACGGGCTTTCAGCAGCCCTTCCTCTGAGAGTGAAGTGGGTGCCGTCAGAGGGAGATCGGTTGCTGGCAACAGGTAAGTCCTACATGAATTTTGTGTGTGTGTGTGTAGTTATCGGGGTTGGAGGCTCTCTACTTCAAGCAACGTCAGGCCCACTCACTCCTCAACTGGGAGATCTCTACTACGGAGTGGGTTGTGTTGATTTCATAAGGGAGAGTGGGGTTCTGCCATGCAGCTAGGTAGTGACCCCCAGCTCCAGCAAGGCCGTAGAGAGAGCTGTGCTTAGGGCCAGTTCCAGTTAGGGTAGAATTGCACCCTGCT